AGAGCCCTTTTATAAGAGGGACCTCACACTAAGCTGTGTGTAATTCTTACCAGAAACTGGTTTATTTACCAAAAAATAATAAGATGTAATGCCAAAGGCTGTCCTACAAATAAAGGGGCAAGAGGGAGGCAAACAGAAAAAAAATCACGATAAAGCGGAAAGTTTCTTTCGCTCGCGCTTGTTATTTTATTGTCGTGTGTTTATGCGACGAGGCCCAGGCCTCGCATGCGGGTGGAAACAGACTGGGCCGTAAGGATTCTCGCGGGCCGCCACAAGAAAGAAGACAATAAATATGTAAATCTAATTTAGAAGTCCGCAATTACAACCTCTCCTCGCCTATTTGGGAATTCAGCGCAGGGTTCGGCTTTCATTATAAAACAATATTAACATTTTCCGAGCAGCTGAATGATGACTCTAGCACAAGCTGCCACCCACGTTGCTGAAAGAGCAGCTTCCAAACACAGGCACTGGACTGTAAAGCCTCGGGTTACCCCTACTGTCCCTTTCACTTAAGGTGAAATAAACACGTCCTTTCTTCCTGTTCGATCAGGGAGAAGGCTTTACATAGTTAATTCTACGCCTGGGCCTTCGACGGGCTTCGAACTCTCCAGCCACCGCTATCAAAATGGCCGCTCGTGTTTCCATGTAGGGGCGGATCCGGTGGGATCGCAGTGTGGAGCCTGGAATCTTCCGAAGACTTCGACTCCATGGGAATCGGTATACGGAACGCCAAACTGCCGATCTTAAGCTCCGCCTCCCCGCACTTGCCACACGCCTTGTTCGGTGACCGCTTGCTTGGTGCGCCGCTTGCTTGGTGCGCCACTGCGTGTCCCCCCTGTCCTATCCATCCATGCCGAAGGTTCTGGGTAACAGGTCCACAAAGGGCTGCCACCATTGCCTCTATCTCCTCCCTATCGAGGCTCGTTCTGTGGAAAAATATTAGCCGGCGATTGTAAAAGCAAAGGTTGTGCGACAGACTGGCGACTCAAAAGAGGTTAAGCCACAAAAAATAACAAATTAATGCCAAAAGATGCAAGGCACACTTTAAAAAAACTCAACAAAACCCCTTAAGTGACCTGACAGGTCATGCTGCCACCACCACTCACGTGACAATCGGGTCAAAATTACTACTTTGAACTATATTTGTGTAGTACCGTGTAGTATTTTTAAAACCCCACAAAGGATGCCGTCGAGAGCGTTTGTAAGATGGCCCTTGTGGGTATGGGGCAGGCTTACGGGGGCCTGCGGATTTACCCAGAATACAGTACACCAAAGTATGTGCATGGAGTAGTGTTATACGGGGATTATCCAAGCAGAGCAGGAAAGACTTTAAACTAATCTATAATGGAATGCCACTCTCAAGCAGCAGGCCTGGGGATGAGGGGAGCAGATCCAAAGAGCATTGCTCTCTGGAGCACAACACGGGCCATTATTCTTTTGTGCGGCAATTAAGGGATGGATGGGAGATGAGATGAAACTACTTCTGCTAAAGAATCGGCAAAGAAAACAAGGCCGGGTGCTTTTTTTTTTTTTTTTTTTTTTGAGGAGTATCACAAGACAAAATTTAAGGACGACCAGAGGGAAGAAAAATCAGGACAGCTCTGGGGACGTCGCCTGCTACCTCGGAAGTGGTCGGACGAGTGCCTTTCCCATTCGCGGCACTGGTGCTCGGGTGCTCTAATGGCACTGGGAAGCATCTGGTTATATCTCAATTGCTGTTTGTGTTACTGGAGGGATTCCACTGTAACCCCCCCCCCTCCCCCAGCCCCCCCGAGTTAAATTTCCCAAGCTGTTCTCAATAGCAGAGAAGAAAAGGAGAGGAAAGAAAAAGGCAAAGCGGGCTGAGGAGGGGGGGGGGGCTGCTCAGAGAAGGAATCAATTACACGAGGAAGACGGGGACCGGGCCGAAAGCAGTAAATTCAGCGCAGAGAAAGGCTGGTCAATAACTCAATACAAATGTGCAGAGGAGGCAGTTGTGAGAGACAGAGCTGCTGGGGAGGGGGGGGTCGTGGGGGGTTGTTGCTGGCAGGGATCGCAATAGGCGCAGTTTTAATTAGCACTGCATTGGGAGTGAAACAGTGGAACTGTTGTGGGCAGGGGGGGGGGCACAGCTGCTGCATGGCACATACCCGGCTGACTGGTCTGGGTGGGCAGGGCTCACCCTCAGTGCACCCCCCCCACCATCCCGTGCCAGCTCAGGTGCCCCCACCACAGGAGAGAGGTTGAGCCCGGCCCCATTGCTCGGCGAGTGTGGCCAGTGCCCTGGCATCAAGTTCCGGGGCACCGCCTTGCCAGGCTCCGACGGGAGGCGGACGGCTGAGGCGCTGCGGAAATATAGCGCGACCCGGCTGATAATGCTCCTTATGGATCAATATGGTTGACATAAAGAGGTTAACGTGAGTACCTCTAAAGTAATGTTTATATATGTATACACACTCCTTTTCTGATTGGACATTGACAAAGACTTTCATCGACCAATAGGAAGCACGGGAGCTGCCTACTGAGGTAATGGACCAGTGAAATTTTTTTGCCTTTGGAAATTCTTGTATGGTACCACCAAACTAACTGTACATACATATAACTCACCATAATCCCCCCCTCCCCCTATGACAGACATCTGAAATGATGACTGAGCGTTAAACCAGTCTTTATGTTAAGCTCCCATTTTTGTTGTATATTTATGTCTGTATTGAAAGTTCTTGTTATTGTCATTGAAGCTCATGAAATGGATTTTTTTTTTGTGAAAATTGTGCTGGACCTCTGACTTAGAACAGAAATCTGATGTGGACCTTTGATCAAAAAGTTTGAGAACCCCTGCTGTAAATAATAAGCACTTCTGCATGGATAAATTGATCAATGAATGCATGATATTGGAATATATGTTAGTATACATTACACAATACGATATGTGGCATCTGTTTTTTTATTTTATTATTAGTTCTACCTAGTCAAAAACAATCTGCTAAATGATTTAAATGGGGGCGTCATGTGGCTCAGCAGGTTAAGCTCTTGTGACCAGAAAGCCGTCAGTTCAAATTCCGTGGTCATTGGGCCCTTGACCCCCAGGAACTCTCTGATCCCTGCTATCTAAAAAACATATAAACAAATAAATATGATGCATCAGCATGCTAAACCACACCAAGGGCACAGATATTACAACCCAAGTGACCCTGAGCTAAGCTAGGAGCATGAACGAGCCTGATAGCAAGCTTCTCTGGTGTCGATCATGCTGCACATCACGGAGAGCCAGCTTCCGGGCGGTCTTCATCTGGTTGCAGCATGGGAATAACATTTATGTTAGAGCTCGACATGTTTTTTTTCCCCAGACTAAACCGTTTCCCTGATTTCAGAACACAACAGCGCCGTAAACAATGGCGGACAGTTTTGTCTACAGTTTTGTTTATGGGGTAGTCTGCGACGTCTCTAACGCTGTAAACGAAAGCCTAATATTTATCTCGGTATACTTAAAAGATGTCCAGACAGATATAGGTTTTGTCACAATCTTTGAAGATGTGTGCTTGTATTTAGGTCGGCAAATAGTGCTTATAGTACAGCAACGATAACTCCAGAATATCCACATTGACTGAGACTTCAACAGTATGACCAGTTGTACTACCTATACATCAGTAGGAAATGCAAGTACTCAGTTGCCAGCTATTACAAACACCTGTATAGGATTAAGGAAACACAAAGTTAAGCTCACTAGAGCCTGACTCAATTTAAACCTCTTGCTGTGCAGAGTGATGAGAGACAGACGGCTTTAAAAGCGTGAGACATTCTTTACTGCAATACATACCACCTAATTTGAAACTATGTATTTGTTATTCATTTCAATATGCTGGTGGTCGCAGCTGTGCAGACGCACATTGACTCGTCTCAAAAACAAGCATCGCATCCGGATGCATTTTAGTGTGTAGCAATGCTGACCTCTAGTGTACAAAGAAGGAACATCCATTCAAAAGATATTTTATGGTCATTTTAGCGTATGGCAGTTTTCAGCTCTTTCCCTTAAAGTAGATCAACATCAGAATCGAGTTTATTGGTCACGTGTGTTCACACACACGGTTGTCAGTTGTTACATTTCGTACGAATACAAAAGCGAACCCACCCCTGTAAACAAAGCTTGACATTTACCATCATAATAAGCCAGCTATTCATAAGGCTACCCTGTCCCCATTCTGCAGTTACAGTGCATTTGTGATATGGAATTATGTCTGCTCAAAAATAACAAGTATTTTTAAGTTACATTTTTTTGAGTTACTCCCTTCAGTAGGGCTGTCAATCAGTGTATATTTCGTGACTATTTTATCATCGAAATATACAATTTGTGATCAGCGAAGGTACAAAATGGTCTATTACTTAACCAAATTATTAACTGATCATTTAGGTAGCTAATTAACACCCAAAGTGATGCAGTAGCTCATTTCTGATTATTAATTCGAAAGCTATAACAACTCCAGGGCCGCGTGCTCTGTATTGTGTTATCGGCCATGCTTTCTGTGGACCTGTTTTCAGGTCAGCTGTCTCCATTGTGCTCCTCTGCTTATTCAATGAACTTCTACGGGACATCTGGAAGAGAAAATCCGAATCAGTGCGGTAAAATAATGGCAACACTTCGCGGTTTATTATTCGATCAGTCTACGCCAAGGCTGCCATCCATCCTTCTGTCTTTGAGATGGTTTTAAAAACCGCCTCAGGCTCTGTATATCAGTAAAATATACACGTATAAAACGTGCCAGCATGCTTAATCTGAACCAGGTTATTTCAAAGAAAACTTTACAATTTCCCTAAATGCTTTAAGAAGCGATGAGCCACATACAAACTTAACAGGAATCATTACTGATATGGAATGCTAAGAAATTATAACCAATATAGTTAAAATAGTAAAAAGTGGGATAGTTATTGCGGCCAGCTTCATTTAAGAGATCTGAACATGAGCCCAAGCTGCGTAGCACTCGGCTCCGCGGTCGCGCTCAGTGACATCACCCCGATGACGTCGACCGTCATGACGTCAGTGGAGAAGCGCCCCTGGTCGCGCATGGAGCGCGTGCTGACGCGCCATCTTCCCAGCCCCGGCTTTCTTTCCTACTGAGAACACGTTGTTAGAGGTGGGAGCTCGGGAAAGCCGCGTTACCGGCGCAACAGCAACCGCCAGGGAGCCGTCGTGGGGTGAGTTAACGAAACGTCGTGCGGGCGGCCCGTTAATTTGACCCTTTTACTCAGCCGGCTAATAAAACTCTTGCCGATGACATTTTAGTTCGCCACGGCAGCTAACGGCTAGCCTGCCGTCCCGTCCACCCCCATGTGCGTCGTGGCCAGCCGGCTCCATTCCCTTTACCCGCCCTGCAAGGCTATCCTCCCATGCAGAGGTATCCAACTGGATGTCGCCCTTTCGATTGCCTGCGCCATTCGTGGCCCTCAGTGCGGCTATGCTAAAGCGCAGGGTTTGCCGGGCGACCTGATGGATGCGGAGAAGCGGGAGGCCTCCCTGACGCTTTCGCTGCCGTGTCCAAAATGCCACATATCCACGCCCTAACTATGCTCCGTGCGGGTGTTTATTCATTCATATTTTGTGGCCTTGATTGTACAGTTGACGCTTTTACTTTAATATGCGTTATTTCATTTCAGATGTTCTGCTAGCGCGGTGTTAGATAACGTTTGACGTATGTTGGGCTGCATCGTATGTTTAGTGAAATGATGTATGCAGGATTGCCAACTCTCACGCATCTGGCGTGACATTCACGCTTTCAGACTAACGCTCACGCAAGAAATCTAACGGCAAATCCATTTCATTCCATTATGAACCTAAAAAATATCGGGGCAGTTTGTAAACCCTACAGATTATTTACAAGGTATTAAACTGTTATAAACATACATGTCAATGTGTGGGCAGACTTGTCTCGAGTTGAAAAAATCACGCCAGCCAGTTGATCGAATTTGGGAGCCGTGTAGCTGACATTTTGTCTAGAAAACTGGCCTTTGCGACGTTATTGAAACTTCGTCGTTGTTAGTGTTTTTTTTTTTTTTTCGCAGACCGAGCTTCGTCGTTTTATCTGTCTCGGAGAGCTCTCCACCCCTTTCGTCCTGAGAAAATTATCTGCCCTGCCAGGCGGTGAAGGAGTGAGAGGATGTCAGACAAACCGACCCGTATCGCCATCGTAAACCATGACAAGTGTAAGCCCAAGAAATGCAGACAGGAGTGTAAGAAGAGCTGTCCCGTGGTCCGCATGGGTAAGAACATACACCAGCCGTTCAGTAACTGGTTTATCAAACACTCATAGACATTTAGCGTCTGATCATCCTTATTACTCAAACGGGTTATTGGAAAGATCAGAAAACTACTACTACTTCATCTAGATGCCTGCAAAAAAGCTACAGTGGCTTTTTTTTCTTATTTCTTATGTATTTGGTGAATTAATAAAAATAGCCTAGAAGTTGATTGCTTACATGTCTGTGTTGTCATTTTCATTGAATCCAGGTAAGCTCTGCATTGAGGTGACACCTCAGAGCAAGATTGCATGGATTTCTGAATCCCTCTGCATTGGATGTGGTATCTGCATTAAAGTGAGTGTCTTCGCCCTCCCGGTGTCAGTCGTTCGGCGTGTTTTCTCAGCGCGGCGTGAACGCTGGAAGCGACATCCTTAGTGATGCGATGCATTCATGTCATTTATTATTTTTAGAAATGCCCGTTTGGTGCTCTGTCTATTGTCAACCTGCCAAGCAACCTTGAAAAGGAGACAACGCACAGATATTGTGCCAACTCTTTCAAATTGCACCGGTGAGTATGCTGACCGTGTCGTCCAAAATAAACAGAACTCTGTGCTTGGTGTCTGCATCTCATCCCATCAAGTCGTGGACCAGACCGTAGCCGAGCTCCGTCCCTTTGTTCTCAGCAAATTCAGGTTCTCGTCCCTCATCCTTGCACTCTGCTTGGGCCCCCGTCTTCCAGGTTGCCAATTCCGAGACCCGGTGAGGTTTTGGGGCTGGTGGGCACCAACGGCATTGGGAAATCGACGGCGTTGAAGATCCTGGCGGGAAAACAGAAGCCGAACTTGGGGAAGTACGACGTGAGTGAGGGCTGCATTTCGGCCATTTTGGTGTTCACGATAAATGATCGATTGATGAAAAAAATGCAGAGTGGTTGCTTTGAACAAACCAGAAGCCAAACCAGATACCTGCTGGGACTGAAGTGTAGATTACTTGGTCGTTCAGGCTCCCCCAGATTGGCAGGAAATCCTCACCTATTTCCGAGGCTCCGAGCTGCAGAACTATTTCACCAAGATTCTGGAGGATGACCTGAAGGCCATCGTCAAGCCCCAGTACGTGGACCAGATTCCCAAGACTGTCAAGGTCAGTGCCGTGGGATTTTAGAGGACTTGGCTGTTCTCTTTTTTCAACTGCCTTTGTGATTTTTAAAAGCACTGTTTCTGTCCTCCTAGGGAAGCGTGGGGTCGATTCTGAGCAGGAAGGACGACACTAAGACCGAAGACGTGGTCTGCGACCAGCTTGGTGCGTCTCGCTCCGAGTGCGATAAACCCCGTTGTCATGGTGATCTCGAGACAGGCTGTTTTCGTTGTGCTTGCCACCCGTGCTACTGTGCTGCGTGAGCCATCTGCTCAAGGAAACATGGATATGGTTTCCTCAGCTAATATAGAACTGCTATCTGCATGCTTTTATGTTAAGATGTTAAATGAAGCTGCAGTGTTCAGGTTGCTGGGAACCTCTAGACTCGTAATTAATTTTTTTTCCTCCCTGGGGAAGATCTGACTCACCTGAGGGACAGGAACGTGGAGGACCTTTCTGGAGGGGAGCTACAGCGATTCGCCTGTGCCGTGGTTTGCATCCAGAAGGCCGACATGTGAGTCGCTGCCAGCCGGAAATGGATTGGGCCTCACAAAGATGGGACCCTTAATTATTACTTGCAGTGGTTAGCATGCTTACGGGGATGTACGGGTTTATAATGACTGTATGTCGTGGTGTTTCCTCTGCCTCTCCAGCTTCATGTTTGACGAGCCGTCCAGTTATTTGGACGTGAAGCAGCGTCTGAAGGCTGCCATCACCATCCGGTCCCTCATCACCCCAGACAGGTTGTGTCTGTGTGTGTGTGTCTGCCNCAGTTATTTGGACGTGAAGCAGCGTCTGAAGGCTGCCATCACCATCCGGTCCCTCATCACCCCAGACAGGTTGTGTCTGTGTGTGTGTGTCTGCCGGCCTGTTACTCTGTGCCTGTCTGTCTCTGCGTGCCTGTTACTCTGTGCCCGTCTGTGTCTGCCTGCCTGTTACTCTGTGCCCGTCTGTGTCTGCCTGCCTGTTACTCTGTGCCCGTCTGTGTCTGCGCGCCTGTTACTCTGTGCCCGTCTGTGTCTGCGCACCTGTTACTCTGTGCCTGTCTGTGTCTGCGCGCCTGTTACTCTGTGCCTGTCTGTGTCTGCGCGCCTGTTACTCTGTGCCTGTCTGTGTCTGCACGCCTGTTACTCTGCCTGTCTGTGTCTGCGCGCCTGTTACTCTGTGCCTGTCTATGTCTGCGCGCCTGTTACTCTGTGCCTGTCTGTGTCTGCGCGCCTGTTACTCTGTGCCTGTCTGTGTCTGCGCGCCTGTTACTCTGTGCCTGCCTGCCTGCCTGACTGTC